GAAAGTTTGCAAAAAATAAATCTCCAAAACAATGACACAAACATGGTACATGTACCTGTGTTTTATCAAATTCAATCCGGGCATACAGCATCGGCATGATATTAATTACGCCCCCTGTGAAAAACAAATATCACTTGATTGATTGGAGATCTAATTAAAAAACATAGTCAATAGCTTTGTCAACAAGTCAGTATATTAAAAAGGGTATTGATAAACAGTGAAAGAATTTCTGACATTTTTCTACTGCCATGGTTACGTATTACGACTCAGTCTGAAAAAGTCCGACTGTGTTCCACAGAAAACTACAACCACTTCATCTGAGCCGGTTGTGTCTCTGACCTGCGAATGAAACTCGTGTTTACTGTTCAAAAATTAGGCCTCCGTACACGCACTGAAATATGTTATTGGGAAACCCGGGGGAACAGGTGGCCAAGCCTACATGCCAAGTGATGTCCATACATATCACTGGTTGCCGAGGTTCACTTTCAAAAACTGGACCAGGTGGTTTTTCTATAATACTCAAAAAATTTTAATGACAGAATTATTAATTTTCCTTACAAAGCATCTCAACAACTCATAATACAACTCTATAAGATTTGTTGGCTGAATTTATAATTACCTAAAGCGACTGTTCCCATCAGGAATGGTGACCCAATGTAACTGAAGTCGTTGTTTATCTCGTTTGATACAATGGCACCAACACCAAACGTAACCACCACCTGTCATGGAGAAAACAAGATGCACAATGCAATAAGAAGTTGGAGTTCTTTGGTTTCATTACTGACAGCACAATAGAAATGTAATACATGTAGACATTTGTCAAACTATTAAATAGTAAATAGCCAAACTATTCAACAATCAATAGTCAAACTATTCAATAGTCAAACTATTCAACAGTCAAACTATTCAATAGTCAAACTATTCAACAGTCAATAGTCAAACTATTCAATAGTCAAACTATTCAATAGCCAAACTATTCAACAGTCAAACTATTCAATAGTCAAACTATTCAACAGTCAAACTATTCAATAGTCAAACTATTCAATAGGACGTAGTAAAATCACATACAACTTAGATGGATTACTGACACTTACTGTAGCCACAAGAACTCCTCCTTTGGCAAGGGTTAGGAGGGAAACGAATGGCTGGACAAATTTCTGCGCGAAAACTATCGCCAACGAGAGAACCCAGACAAAGACGGGGATGACGTAAAGATACCTAGGAAGAGGAGCACATGAATTAGACAGGGCAAAAAATGAATTTGAAATTTGTCGTGCACCAATATATGAAGCGTCCCATGTGACCATGTTTAGGAGAAAGAAGATGTGCAACTGTGACTGTTGAGTAGTTTCGTCTCTTTTCACCTTGCATCTAGCCTGATTGCCAAAAATGTTCAATACAAGGGCTAATATCATTCCCGGCTCTAAATGGAAGGAAAATGACGGCGTGCACGATCCCTCAGCATTTGTTGAGGGAGCTTTACTGCTGGAACTGCAATTTGAAAGAAAAAAACCTTTTCTTACTTGATGTTGAGTACTTGTGCGTATGCTTCGCTGCCGGCCAAGGCGTAACTGATGAGTATAGACACACTGGAATCAAAATAGATACGAAAATATGAAATTTAAAAGAAAGAGTTACTGTAACACTGAACAAATTGATAGCCAGCACAAACATGTGCCAAAGCAATTTGTAGTTTTCTCGGATTATGCTCCAAACTCTTCTCCGATTATGGTCCATTCTTTACAATCTATTCTACACACGGTATTAAAACAAAATAAAAATTTCAAACAATTCTTTCTACTTGCAGCTGTCTGTAACTCAGCCGCCATCTTGTGGTGCCAAAAATCCCTGCCAAAATGTGGTATTTAAACCATGCATTACCCCAACACCGTCCAAAAAATGGTAATCTTCCTGATTTTGAAACACTCTGACCGATAGAAGACTGTACGGTCTATTTGTTTGTTGTCATTTTAACACTAACCCTTCGGTATAAAAAAATTGTATTTGAGTACTCAGCACAGCTACTTTAAAAGAGGTTTGATATCAATTTTTTTCCCAAGTGCAAAGATTATGCTATCAGTTTGCTGCAGAATGTTAGACGTTTAAGTATTGTAAGTATAGTTTCCCTGCGTAACATGAATAGGGAGTTAGGTTCAGGAGCCAGGGTGCTGGTAAGCCGTACACTCACAATTGAAGGAGCAGCACAACATCAAAGGCCTGCCTGAGGCCCCTCTGCAGGAAGAGACTGCCCAGCATATGCAGGTTGGGGGTCGGTGGCTTGCCCAGGGAGGCGGGGATGTTCCTCTCCGTGGGATTGCTCTCGCTTCCTGCTCACGGACAAAATGCACAAGAGGTACGGTCGGTCACTGTACGGCCCTAAAATCGCTTGATCGTGCAGCTTGCTGTTATGCTTGAAAATGTCCAGGAATTCTCTGGGGGAAGGGGTAGCGGGACCAAAAAAGGCAGGCAGTTTGGATGAAAACAAAAAAACCGAGACTGTGGTGTGGTCTTGCCCGTCGCATGTCCATTGCAAGACAAATTGCAAGTCTGCCACGAGGCAGTTTTAGGAGTTTCTGTTAAAATTGACAGTGGATGAAGGACGACAAAGGAAAAGCTGTATGACGGTTCGTTCCAAAAAAGCTTGACCAACTTGCGAGGACTTGCCATGGACCTTTGAGGACTTGACTGCGATAAAAGATGTGGGAAATCAGTATGATTCACCTGAGCCGTCTTCCCCCGATTCGTCTGACATCATATCTTGTAGTGGAACATTGACCTCCTCACTGCAAATAGCCTGTCGAGGTCAAATAAAGATAGAGAGTTACACTCTTCTCAAACCTTGATGTTAAATAGAGTCGATCAATGCATTCTCAATGGTGTTGGGACTTTTCATTAAATGTGCAAAACCAAACAATCAAGTTCTCATGATCGCCAATTTTCATCTGAAGTACTGGCTCAAAAGAAGTAAAACAGCAAGCTGACAAAACAAACAAACCAACCAACCAATATTAATAGAGATCTGCTCTGTTGGTCACTAAAAAATGTTTGACGTTTCATCAGCGAAAGCTTGTGCACTGCACAAGGCAATGTTAATAGGACAGAGTACAAGTTGGCAAGGGGAACCATCAGTCAAATGTGAACATGGGTCTTTGTATGCTTTTACTTCAACACTGCTACCAAAGAATGTCAGAACACAAAAATTATAAAAAACTATTAGTAATAAAGTAAACACTTATTTTTCACAAAAGACCACTGACCGTCTTTATGAAAGGCGTATTTAACACTAAACAGGCATGCCAGACAATATAGAAACATCATTCCTTGAAAACTCAAAAAATGCTACACAAAGTTTAACACGTGAAGGTTGACCAATAAATAGATAAAGTGACGTACAATTTTCTGACTAAACACTTATGAAACTACGACGCACTTACAACAATGGATTACTTCACTCCACAGCTTCACCAGACAACATCGAGAAGGCTGGATAGCCGAGTTAATGAAAAAAAAGTCAGTTTTCTTATCTTACATTGGGTACCTTGTGCCGTTCTATTTGGCATGCGTGTGCCCTCTGGAGGATGTCGGTGAAGAAGTAGATCAGGAGAGCCTGGGGGAAGATACGCATATTTATGCAAAACAGAATTCAAATTCTCTGGATGTTTCTTATTTTGTTTGAATGCGCAGGGGTGTTTCTGACGTGGGGAAAAATGGTGATGCCGCACTGGTAACTAAGACAAAATGCTAGACAAAATTACTGCGTTGTTTTCATTTCTTGATGATTTCAAATATTGAGTAAAGTGCATCAAAACTGTTCTCCCTCGTGTCCAGGCTCTGAACTGAGACACAAGGAAGAAGACCATCTCAGTTTCATAAGGGCATGGTCTGGACGCCCTCGGTGAAAATGAAAGCTCAGGTAATCCCACAGGGTCAGTATGCACGTACGCTGACATATCATGCCCAGTGTTCTAGCAATACAGCTAATTTGAACCCAAGAGCTGGGTGGAAATTTACAGTACCGGGTGGTGCCGCCTGGCGCCACCCACCGTGGCTAGAACACTGATCAGGTCCCAACTCCACAAATTGAACCTGGCTGGTTATCGAACCGCAGTCGAGAGCATCATCCTGACGTCGTGACCCCTTCTCCCTCCAAAGCAAAAGCAGAGGAATATCAAGTGACCTTACCTGCATGAAGAAGCCAACAATGAAGGAAACGAGGAACGGAGAGAGGCCAGAGTGGGAGAGAGTAACAGGGAGCCCTGTAGCGTAAAAAAAAAAATGAGACATCCACCAAAATGCATCAATATTTATCTTCAGACTGCATGGCATTTTGGCACCAATACAAACCAAATGTGAGGACATTCGGCCTCAAAAAACCTCCTTTAACACTTCCTTCTGCGGCAATGTTACCCCCATTATACCGTGATCAGGCCAATTCTCAACCATCTTGTTTGACATGCAGTCCTTGTGCCAGTTATTTATCAATTCTTCACGGATAATAACCCTTACAAACAGCTGCATTTGTAAATTCCAAACTCTTGTACATAACATGCTTTGACTGCACTGGCCTAATCCAGTGTGGATTTAACATGTTCAAAGTCAATTATCCGTGACTAAATGATGCGGTTTTTTTTTGTAAAAACGGTCCACATGGCTTTCAAGATTAAACATATTTTAGGCTTGCATGCATCTGTATGCAAAATCTACACTACATGTGCACAGGGAATATGTCTGGATTAATTTGGTTTCTCCTTTTCTGAATTTTCATTTTTTTCTAATTATCAAACACAACATAAAAGCACAATGATTTGAAACCCCCTGTGCGCATATATATGTACTTATACATGTGTCAGTCCTCCATGTAGAAATGATTGTGGAAGTAACTATAAAACAAACAAACAAATGACAAACAAACAAACAAGACCGAAAGCTTGGAAAAATACAGGTGGCTAGTCTTACCAAGGATTCCTGTCCCAAGAATGCAGGCAATTGTGACAAAATCTGGGAATCGATCATAATTAAAAAATCACATGAAATACGTAAAATTTCCAGGAATAATATTTTATCACTAAAAAAAAAGTATAAATCTGCTACATGTACATGTGAATTAATAAAAAAGCCCTGAAGCAGTGTCTCATATATAAAAATATGAAGAATGTACTGAATGTTAGAATATGCTAATTAATTCATACTGTCCAGACATGCATGCATTACAAATAAAACTGCGCGTATATGTGTGAGCAAACAATGCTATATCTTTGTCAAGGGGGAAATCAACCTCTACCTTTCCATGCCCTGCAGTCATTTTAATCCCAACCAACCTTGTAACCAAAAAGCTCTGGAGAGTGAAAATGCTTCTCCAGATATTTACTCAAGGAATTTGCATTCCAAACTGAACGAATGACTACAGGGTTTGCTGTCGTTAATACAATTTTGACCGGGGGGGGAGGAGGTGATTTTTTTTCAAACTTAAACACACGGATGGCTGAAAAATAGCACGAGAGGGTTGTGAACATCAGTTTTGATTCAACTTTTTGATTCAAAAACGTCATTCAGTGTCCTTATCATATGTTGAACTAAATGTAACAAATACTTCAAGGTGTTGGCTAATAACATTTGAAAAAAGTGACTAAAACATCCGTATTTGGGCCATGGATTAATTTTAATGAAGAGACTTATTAAATATTGAGGAAATTGTACAACAAAATTGTTTTAAGTTTACATGCATTTATCAAAAAGACAATCAGCCTCACCTCAGTGTAAAAACTAGTGATCATAGTGAACTTTAGGGAATAAAGGTTTATTGAAAAAAAAAATGAAGATTTGGGTAGATGTGGTCCAGTAAACCTCTGAGGCAACGATTTCACTTAAAAATTCAGCATGCGCAGACTTTCAACTGTTGCCGCTATCCGAATGCATACGATCAACTTCTCTAATCATAAAACTTTACTGTATTTGCCCTTGGCATTGCCAGGAGACATGGTAGAACACACTACCAGGAGAATTCTCAAATTCTGCTGTGCAATTAACATTGGCAAAGGACAAATTTGATTCAAAGGTAACTGTCTGATTACCTAGAATGACAACCTGGCATCAGTCACGTTTTCCAATTTACATGTACATTAAAAAATCTCTAGGCTAGTTGCGACACAGGCAAATTAACCAATTTGAGGTACAAAGTGAAGGGTAATCCTTTAAAAAAATTAAAATCTAGTTACAAGGAATTAGAAATGTTAAGAGAAAGTTGGAAACATGTTTCCTAAACTCTCATATTTGGTGGATTAATTTAGGTTAACACATTGTTAAATAAATACAATATAGGCTCATCAGAAACAAATAAGCAAACAAAATAAAACAATACAAAGTTGTAAGCAAGCAAAATGCGAAGGTGTATCTTTAAACAAAAAATTTCAACAAGGCCTAACTAGCCTACCAAATGTTTCTATATTCTTCGAACATCGTGCAAGAATATGAACGATTTTCACGTAAGCATGTAGTATAATTCGTGTAATTTGGAAAAGGTTGAACGAGGTCTAACGTTAGATGGCTAAATAAGGGACCTGGCGACTGTGCGCATGATATACGGTCACTGGCGTTACTTTTGTAAAACAGCAAAATTTTATACACACAGCACTGTATGTAGATAGCCTTTCTCTCCAGCGACTTCCAGACTGCCGACTTGGCCTGGCCTAGTTTCGTCTCGATTTCCCGTATGACCTCGGGGACTTGACCGTCGCTGGATGATGACCCGTCAACCGGTGCGCCGAGCCCGTCCCTGCCCGTGGAGCGCATCGCCCCGTTCTCGGTGACCGCTTCATCGTCCAAGGAAATCGAAACCTCTTCTGGGTCTTCTGTCAGCGCAATTTCCTGGCCGTCTTCCATTGCTATTTATCCCGCAATAATTACTGGATGTTGTACCCCAGCTGTCCTAAAAGGACATACTTGGATTCTGCGGCATAAGTCTTTGATGGAAAGGTGCAAACCTCAGTGAAATAAATCCTGCGTATCGGGCTCAGGCTCCTGAGGAAAATTTTGACAAGTTGCAACCACTGTAAATGGCGCCCTCTCGTGGCCAGATGTCGCTTGGATGGTGCCCAAACGATGCAGCAGATGTTCACAAGAAAAGTTTATCAGACGCTAAGGTACCAAGCTGTGCTTCCTTCTAGTTCTACACATGTTCACCGTCTTCTGCCGAAGGTTTGCGGAAAGCTGTCAAATTTCCAGTAAATTTGTCCAATTTCTCATCTGAAACCACTGTAGCTTTCAAGCAGGTAATAATTTAACGTATGAAGTTATACTTTTTAGCTAATTTATCAGACTAGATAGTCATTTGAAACCCCCAACGACATCTAGAGTCGGTCGTAACTTAGGCCAGGATGGGGGGGGGGCGTGTACGTTGGGCCCTTGGGGTTAAACCCATATGAAATGTTTGGAATTAGAGTTAATGTTTGATACAGTATTCATAAATTAGTCTAAATCCTGAAGATAAGCCTGTTTTTTCAAGTTGAATTAGGCCTAAGTTTTCCTTTTTTTGATAGGGCTTAGCCTACCGGTTAGGCTGAGAGAATGAAAGTTTCAGATTTGCGTCCCAAACATTTTGGAAAAGCACGAGGCTTTTTTTCATTACTCAATTTTAAAATTTTTAGCAAGACGTATGCTTAGTGATTGTGCACGGTGAATACCTGGAGCAGTGCGTATCGCCGTATGCATGTATTGGAGAATTTAATCCTTTGTGTGGTAGGCCAAGGTAGGCATGCACCTTTATACCCTTTTACTGCTCCTTTGTGATTAGGGATTTGAAATGTTTTTATGATTTTTGGTTTAAAGTTTTGTAAATAATGAATTTTTATTGGCAGGGTGTTTTGAAGCATGCAGGCGGTGGACGAAAATCTAAAACTTTCATTCTCATGGCTTAACCATGGTTACAGGGGTTGGATGACTCCAGTGAAAAAGGATGAATTGTCCTGAGTTGACGCTGACGCTACTGCTCATCAGACCTTCCCCCAAGCATTATTTCATTCTTTTTTAATCGGTAACGTGTCTGACATGTCTGATGGCATTGTCTTATCCTTTCATTTGCTGATACATGTACATAGTCGCAAGTATGGCCACAACGATTACTGAGGTCTCCGGTAACAAGAGTTTTGGAGGATGGCAGAAGACTTTCAAACACGACAGGTGTGTGTTGGTTTATTTGTTTCAAGAGTTGACTTCATAGTAAACTTCATGTCATTTCTGTCATTTTGTACCTAGTCAATGCTTTAAATAGCACCTAAATCAGTTTCAGTTGTGACCAAATTTTTGCTAATGCGATCATATTTTCACCATCCAGTTGCCATTTGCGACTTAAGATAGCTTAAAAACTACATACAAAATGTACTTGAACAATAAAAAAGCAAATGATTTTGCACTCAAAGTACGTGTACTGTACATGTACATGCAAGTTGTGTGATGTGCGTGTGCCGGCCGTGCTGGATCATGATTCCACAGCATGGATGGACGATGTAAACACAGGGTATTCATACTACATGTGTGTACGTACGTTCATGAATATTCAGCGCACGTGATTACTAAACTTTCATAAAAGTGCTGGCGCCTAGATTTTTCCCCATTTGGAGCCAATGGCTACCAAATAAGTTTTTTCTGTTAAAACAGTAAAGGGTTGTACCCGGTGCAAAATTTTAGTCAAATAGTCTACAGTCACCAGACCTGAAAGTCCTCAAACCTACAACTGTTCGAGGACTGAGGACTGTTGGAGTGATGATTGTGCATTCTTGTGAATTATCAAATATATGGATACTAAGGAAATTTAAAGAATTTTGTGTGCACGTTGTTGATTGTGTTAAAAAATATCAGATTTTCTGTAGTGGGAAGTGTTTTTATTTCTTAGTATTAAGAGGGACTTGTCACTGAAATCTTGAATGTGTAGAAAAGAGAAATGGAGGAGTGTTTGGATGTGCTGTTATTGTTTTTTGTGTTTATTTTGCAACCAGATGAGAATGTCTTCTGGTGAATACCGCTCCATTAATGAAAGCTTCTGTCTCTTTTTGGCACAGTGGAGAGTTGAAATGCTCCATGAACTTTGGAATTTACCTGCCGGCCGAAGCCAAGACGGACAGGCTGCCCGTGCTGTACTGGCTGTCTGGTGGGTTTTGGACATTTTTTTACGGAATGTCTGCCTCGCTCTGTTTTTACTCTGCCACATTCAAAATGTAAACGTACGTACCTGACTTGATCTTACGGCTCGAGATTATGGGAATGAATCCTTGCTGTAAATTATGGCTTTGTTTAGGAAAGAATTCCAGGTGGACGCTGCTTGACATCCTTACACAAACCCTACAAGACTGGACAGAGAAGAATTCAAAGTGTTTTCTAAGTGAATACCTCCATATTTTCACAGCCGAATTTGACCTTTGAGGATTGATTTCATTGCTTCCAGATGGCTAATTGGTTACTGTGGGGGAAATTAGGAAATAAGGAATTCTTTCATTCAGTTGTAGCTGGGTCACATGGTAGTCAGTGTGGCAGTTGCGTTGTTTTGTTTTGATTTCAAATTTTGTGATGATGACAGGGCCTAGGTTGAAAATCCCGTTTGGTTATGTTTGTACGTGTAGCATGTGCAAACAAAAAATATAATTATAAAACCCTCAGGAATTTGATGTCCCGTTTTTCAGTTAAGACAAGCTTGGATGTCAAGATTTCAGATTGTGGCTTCTAAATGCCAGATTGAGCCCGTCAGCACCACGGCTCACTGTAGCTTTGGTGCGACTGCACAGCCGGCGAAGGAAGCAGCGAGATAACTTGAAACAGTGAGGCTGAGACAGGTGTTTTTTTCTTTGTCTTTAGGACTGACTTGCACCGAGGCCAACTTTGCCCAGAAGGCCGGGGCCCAGGGCCTGGCTGCCGAGAACAAGGTCATCATTGTCATGCCTGACACCAGCCCACGTGAGTGGTCTCTATTGGGCCTGTGCGGAAAAGTTCGAGGGCGGTGTTTAGCTTTTACTTGGGCCGTATTTGAATCGGCAGGCCATGGCAGGGAACGATGCGCTTGTCTTGGGGAAAGTGGCTGGGTCCGCCCGTCAGCGGCTTCCATAGGCAGTGTTATAGATCAGCCACAGCCATAACGCTCTGACGCAGCCTCACAGTGGCTAAATGCAGCCTTCGACCAAATTACATCACCTCAAAGACATTCTGGATGGGCTGTGTGACCAATTTTCATATGGAAGTGGACTTCCAACAATATGCACTAATGGAGAACACATTTTAATGCATGGGTTAAACACATCAGATTGCGGTGAGATAAATATTTTATTGGTTACCATTAGGTCATCTTGGTGTCACAAGTCGGCACTAATTTTGTAACGGTCTACAAAACAGTAATGCTGAATGCGAATGCTAAGCAGAAATTGGTTGAGAATCAGCTGCAATCTTTATAGGTTACATACTGTTGCATCTGTGGCCGATAACTGGTTTTTCTAAGCAAACTCTCTGTTGCTGAGCAATTGTTTTGTGCTCACTAGCTCAGCGAAATCAGCTTGGTCTTCTTGGACCCAAATACCGTCTTTCTTGTCTGTCTCTTCAGGGGGCTGTAACATTGAAGGAGAGGAGGACAGTTGGGATTTTGGGACCGGCGCCGGGTTCTACGTCGACGCCACCGAAGACAAGTGGAAGACCAATTACAGAATGTATTCTTACGTCACCAAAGAGGTACGTTCAGCCTCGGTTGCCACACCTGCCGTCGGGCAATTTACGTCTGTGCAACACCTGACATGCTGAATTAGCTTTCGTTTACATGTAACGGTCAACTTTGCTCTGTTAAATGCAGCTGCCGGAGGTCATCAATGCAAACTTCAACACGATTCCCGACGCCATGTCCATATTTGGGCACAGGTATGCCGATTTACATTTTCTCATTCAGTTGCGGGACAAAGCCTACCCAGTTCTGTTAGGCATTTGTTATGACTGGTGTTTGTTTCGTTTGTTTCTGTGGTAGCATGGGAGGCCACGGTGCATTGATCTGTGCCCTGAAAAACCCAGGAAAATATCGGGTAAGAAGTCTGTTTTTTTTGTTGTTTTTTTCCAGAGTAATTTTAGAAGCTTGAGACACTTTCTTTTTGCATATTTTTGGTCAAACGGGAAGATTAACCGTACTGTTCTGCGGGGTCAATTCCTCTGTGTCTGCCCTCCATCCTGAATTGATCACATCTCCAATGTCCACTGCTTTCCTCCTGCAGTCGGTGTCCGCCTTTGCCCCCATCTGCAACCCCATGCAGTGTCCGTGGGGCCAGAAGGCTTTCAACGGCTACCTGGGCTCCGACCAAGCGAAATGGAAGGTCAGTTCATAAATGGACAAATCACATCTGTGCTCTGCACTCGGCAAAAGCAGATTGTTGAGGAAGTGCAATGCCATTTTTTTGGAAACTCTTTGGGCAGATGCTCCACTTCTAAACCATTTTTGTTTGAGGGTGATATGCTGGTGTCGAAACCTTTCCAGTGAAGGTCGCGCTTAGTGCTTTGCGATCTTGTCCCGAGTTTGTTACTTTGGAAAGACCAGGAAAAGAGATGAAGGTAATTTCAGTGGGCTTTTGTCTGCTCAAGCCCAAGGCACACCAGGAGAGGAACATTTTTTTCTTTCACTTACCCAGTTTGCGTTGTCTTCCTAGGAGTACGACGCCTGTGAGCTGGTCAAGGCTTATCAGGGCCCACCCCTGGATATCCTGGTTGACCAGGTAGGCTTAAAGGAAACACTCGAGGAAAGTGTTGACCTCACAAGAGCAGCACCTGTAACCCTAACACTCCTCAGTCCTCCAACAGGTGAAGGATTGAGGAGGGTTAGGGTTAATACTTTTAAAGCAAGCATCACAACCACAAACTAACTGCATATAGCTGAATTTCTTTCCTTTGGGTCTCATAAGCAGGCCACAGCGCCCTCAATTGTCTGGGCGCAGAGCCTATAGATACATGTAGTTCCTTGTGCCATCTTTAGATTAGCTTTTCCGCTTTCTTTGGGTTGTCACAGGGAAAAGCAGACCAGTTCCTCCTTCAATCTCAACTCCTCCCGGACAACTTGGTGGCAGCGTGCACCACCAACAAGACGGCTATCACCCTGCGCATGCAAGAGGTAGGACAGGACACCAGACTTGTGCCCTTGTACATGTACACCATTCCCCGTGTCACCAAACTCAAGGTGTTCTGTCGGTAGCTTTGGATCCCGATCACTGGCACATCTGAAGAGCGCAAATACCTGATGTTCAAGGTGCAATACAGCGCTACTCAGAAATAATGTACACACTGGTGATGTTTCGTACCAGTGAAATGGCTCTGTTTGTGCCGTAACCAAAAAAGGAAAGTTTCTTGATCTCCAGTGAGTCTTGTAATTGTTCACTCTCTGCTAAACAGGAAAGATTTAATTTACAATCCTTAACTTCAATACGAGTGTTGCCATCATGTCTACTATGTTAACAATAGAGGTGAATGACCAGAGTCACTTGTATTTGGTTGACAGTCGGTATATACCCTACGTATGGCTATGGCTAATCACCACAGCATGCCACAACCAGAAGCCATAGCCAAATACGCTTCATTCAGTCTAAGCCCTTGGGCCATCCCACTCCAAAAGAGACCTCTCATCGCCCAATCATTCTCCTGGGTCACTGCCGGTGACCGGGGGTTGGACTTCCTGCCACCCTCAAGGACTCGGGACGCCCAGCTCTGACGATCTTCTCTTGCCGTTGCGCCAAAGTCTTGGTCAGTCTCTTTCCTCTTGTCTCCCCCCCCACAGGACTACGACCACAGCTACTACTTCATTGCGACCTTCATGAAGGACCACGTCCGACACCACATGCGCTACCTCAGCGCCTGATTCACCCACCGACAGCCGATGACGCAGGCTGGAGCTTGTTTCAAACATCTGGTCGCCAGTCTGACAAATAGCCCTATCGACCTGCATTGATTTCAAATCAAAGTATTTATGAATGCAACACACTCAGAAGTTTCAATGGAGGGTTTGCACAAGATGCCATCTTGGTGGTAAAGCCATTGTTCTTTTGGGCACACTGATTGATAATATGATTGTCATGGAATTAACACCTGTAAAAATTATATGCATTGCAAACCGCAGTGAAAATACTCCATATTTGGGTAGTATACTGCCCTCTGTGGGTCTGATACAATTATGTTCATTATGTCTACATCAAGCTCGTCAGAATTCTGACAGTATGATTTAGTTTCTGCTGCCATTTAGTGACAACAGAGTTGCTTGTCAAAAATGCTGTGACCAAGTTTTTTTTAAACTTTCGTCTAATTTATAATAGGCTTCATTCATTTTGTGACCATGAAAGCAAATTGGCCTGCATAAGAAAAAAAAGTCTCACAGTTGTATCAAGATGTGTGGATTTCCCAAATTACAGAAAAAATAATTTTGTTTTCATCTACTCCTGGTGTATCAACAGAAGTGATCCTGTAAACCATATTTTTGTGGACAATGACCATTTTTCCTGATGTGTTTCTGGTTTTAATAACACACGAAATGAAAATAAAAAGAAATGACATCAAGCTATTGGTGTATAAAGGTCATACTTTTATGATGTTCCCCGACCCCCAAATCAGTTAAAATGGAAATGAAATAAGAAAAAAATAGTCACATTTCTAAGAAAAATCACGGTCTGTTTTGGTGGAAGTGGCTTTAAGAATATTACCCCAAAGATGTTACACTGGTTCCCAAGCCACATTTCTATATAAAGTTTGTATACATGGCAGGTTACCTTTTAAATCGCAAGAATGAAGGTGAGAGTTTCTTTTTTTAAGCTGGTGCTCAGATCTGCCGACCTTTTGGATTCAGAAATGGAACAAAATTTTTGATAAGTCTCGGATCTGCAGACCAACTTGGTACCGATATAAATGTTAAAAAAAATTGTTTTTTTGCTCCGCTGTCCCACCGATTACGAAGCTCCCGATTTCAATTTTGTGAGCTCTGGACTTTGGCGGCTAGTGCCAGCAGTAAAGGGATACCTCTTTTTCTGTTTTTTTTTTTTTTAATTTATTCTTTCCCCTGACTTGAAGACCCTTATTTGTTTCTCTCAAGACCATAGAAAATGCCTTTTTCCGCCTGCACCTCTAAATTTGTCTTGTAAAAAATCTGAACACCAACTTATAAAAAAAATGCTCGCCTTACAATTGAAAGAAAACTCTTAGAGAGGTAGGATTCAACAATGCGCATAGCAAACCCTACAAGGACACACACCAAACAGTGCCGCACAGCCACAACTTGCCCGGCAATCATGCACCTGTACTGATATTAAAAAAACAAAGAAACAGTGCTTACTTTTTGCTGCAGATGTATCTGTGTGCTTATAATATACAGCTTAAGCTATACACTACCTGAAAAACTGACAATCTGTGAAAAAGCTGAGCTAAAAAAAACACGAGTTTTTAACCAGATGCAGACGGCATCAACTACATTTTTGGTCATGAACAAACCACAAACCAGTTTTTAATTCCAAATCACTGAATTCAAAGTTACTTTCACTTAAAGCAAGTTAAAATTTTACAGCAGTTGCTCGAATTTCAATTTGATCTTGTCCTCGAGAATCAAAGAATCACAGTCATCACGTAAAATCACAACTAAAATGCTCTGAATGCAGCGCAGGTTTTTCGGGTTGAAGTACTGTACTACGTGCATTGGTCTGGATATACTGCCATTTCAAATCGCAATGTTACAAGCGAGAAAAGAAGCTGGGGAAATAAAAGTGCCAAACTGAAACTTAACGACCTTTGAGTAATTCATAACGTGGCAGGAGAATTCTTTGTGTATTTTGCGGGGTGATTGTCAGGTGGAATGCTTTCAATATCTTTGTTTGGTCACAGTGGAAACAGTACTGTTGTAACACTATGGCAACATCATTATTTGGCGGGTATATCAAACTTGTAGCTATGAGATTTTAACAATTTTAATGAAGTTTAAATATTATTACCTTTGCTAAAAAGAACTATTTACATACATCACCAAAGAAACATGAAACAGAAGGGTGTGATTTAAAACCTACGTTTATTTTTCAGATATTTAAAGTACTACAAAAAGTATGTTTTTAAGGGAATAAAAGTCGGATTCCCCCCCCCAAAAACAGAGAAGCATCAAATTGACTTTTGAACAAGCTCGCCGTTCTCCGGTGACATTACTTGCAGGTGGGTTTTGTTTCTGGTGTCTTCTGTTCTCGAACGTGATGGGTTTCATGAAATACTTGATCATGTACGGTGTACAGTCACTCTGCAAAAATATCTCAAGGCCAAAACTTCTCGGATTTTCTCCTCCCGTCCCCATGCAGTGGTTTCCCCAAATTACACCACTTGGTGAATAGGGATTCTAAACAAAAAAACCCCATGAAGTCTGTTTTTGATGGACGGCATGGGCATTGCCAGGATTTATTCTGCGGTGGGGGGGGCGTGGGAAACAGCAGGAAACTTGCAACCAGTGACACCAGAGGGGGTCAATTTTGAGGTATTTCAAGTATATTGAGGATTTTCTTCCTGATTCCTCGGTTTTTTTTCTTGGTTAAATTTCAATTTTCAAATTCCTATTTTGAGTTTTTGATTTTGGCCTTCCCTCCCCCCCCCGGCAATTCCCAAGGTGGACGGTGGTCAATTTTCACTTCTTCGCTCATTTAGTTTTTAGATGACCTGTGGTTTGAGGGAGGAGATGAGGGGTTCGTCCGGGTTGCTGCAGTAATCGATGGAGGTGACCTCGTAGATGGCTTGCTTGGAGGGCCTCGTCTCGCAGGCGCTGCTCACGTCGTATGTGTAACCAGTTCTAAAACGAGGAGTAAATACCAACCAATACTTGATTGAGCATGGGGTATTTTTAAATGAATATTCATGCACATGATGAATCAACTGGGGTGTGAGATGGACTTGTGGCCTCCGGTGTAAAGTACTGCTGCTCTACCAACTGAGCCCTCCTGCCCAGAGGTTAGTTAGGAGGTGAACAAGCCTAGTGGGTTGGCTAACTCACTCAGTGGAGTGCTCAAGAGGTGTCAAGTTTAAATTCCCCTCCTGTCATTTTTTTTTTCTCATGCCACCAAATATCCACTAAAAATTAAATCCATCAAGTTTCCCACTGTGGTCTGCATGACCATTCTAAATAATTTTTTTTGGGGGGGGACTAGAATCAACAGCACATGGACTGGAGTTCTACCAGCCGAAATTCCTTATACCTTACTATCAGCTTTCAGTGTGAACAGTTGAGGGCGCCATATACATGTAGCATGTACTGAATGTGGACACAAACCAGTTTGCAAGCTGCCCAAGAGATTGTTCTGTAATTTGTGAGAGAACAGGATTTCTCTCCCCCAAATAACTTTGACCGCCATATGCCAGCATCCATTACTCAAATGAGCTTTGCCCATTTAAGTCACGAGGCCAATCAAGCTCCAGATTATCCATCAAACAATACACCCCCCCCACAATCAGCCCTCGTAAAAGGCAATGTAAAAAAAGGACAGATAACAAACCAGATTCTTGTGTCGTCTAGACTTGGCTGATACAAATAGTGTCTTGCAGCAGCCCCCTCCCCCTCGATATGGCGGGTAATCACGACCGGTCCGACTAGTCAAGTTCGTTAAGGCCCGTCTCGCTCAAAGTGCAGCGTGCATGATGAGGCACGCCACAACCATTAATCATTCACGAGGAGGCTCTTAGCGTTTATGCTCGGTCTTAAAGGAATCGTCCCAGTCCCTAGATTGTGTCTCTTTTCCATGTTCACAACCACAAAGGAAGTCAAAGAATGAAATTTGTAAGACTTCAGTGGAGTGGTCGGGGAGACGGATCTTTTTTAGACCGAAGAGTTTTCAGGAATTTTTCCCGATTTCAGACATTCACTTACAGTGGCTAAAGTTCATTTTGAGGAAATCTCCGTAAACATCTCAGAAAACTTTCTCGCAATTCCAGGGAACTTGGACAGGTTACTCTAAGACCCCTCAAAACATATTGTTTGTCTCCGGTCAGACTGATGTTCTGGAACTGACGCGGCGACACAGTTTCCCCCCCCCCCGGTTAGATTGTACAGAAAAGTGCAGACACACATTGTCGAGTCATGGGACTGGACCAGCCTCATTATGATCATAAGCTGACAACAAACAAATTTATATCCATGGTCTGCTATCATTGTTCAATATCGATCTCGTCAGTATCTATTGCCGTGAGTAAAAGATCGAGCTGCCCGCAAAAATGTTGAGGCAGTGCGGCAATAGAGGGTGCTATTGCAGCTCTCACAGAAAAAAAAAAAATGACGCGCATGCTTGAAAAAAAGGAGCACATGTACTGACCGGAGACAAAACACTATTTGGGGGGCCTAATACTGACAAGAAATTGGGGGCAGGGACAGAATCCATCTTTGGCAGCTCCTCTTGCCCCCATAAAACTTCCATCCGGTTTTGGGATTCGTTTACTTAAGGTTTCTTTGTTGGGGGGAGAATTAGATGAAGGAAAATTCCAGAATTACTCTCGATGAGTACACATGGACTGTGAATTGAAGGGTCGCTGTGATACACAGTATTTCTGACTCACACGAATTGGATCTCAAAAAACACCAAAACAAAAAGGTTAAAAGCATCTACCTGGAACTGACATGAAAAAAGTAAAGTTAATTGTCTGGTTCTAATGTCAAGGAGCATGCCTGTCCATCTCGATTAACTGTTAAAGTCACAAAGTGCATGCAGTGGCAGAGTAGAGAAATTGAGGGTTTTTTCTTTGGTGCTACAGGCGGATCGATTAGTGGGCGGAGGGCTGTCATTTACAGGTGAAGCAGGCTTGTTTCGGGTAATGGGGGGCATCAATCAAAGTTCTCTTTTGCCCGCATGTTTGCAGAGCTCAATCTCTTTGCAAACTCAAATAGCTCGGACCTATCATCGCAGCATCGCCACATCGGCGTCAGTAAGTGCAGCACTTTCAAATGAGGAATGCTTCTCTCCAGTTTGTAAAAACAGGTGCATTCCTTCTAGGAAAAATTGGAATTTTTTTTTACAAGACATACGGGATCTGCCAAATCAGAGCTAGGCTGATACTGTTGAGACGCGCTAAGGCAAACTCGTTAGCGTACTGCCGCAAGGTACAGGTGTACACAGCTTCACAGGATATCATCAGTCACATTGCAAAGGACAAATGACGGGCGAGGAAAAAAAAAAAAAAATTCAAATTGAGGAGGAATCGGGAAATTTTTGAAGAGGACAGATAAGTTACCAATGATGAATTCCTAAAAAAAAAAAAAAAATTCCACCCTGAAGATTGCAAATCAAGAAGTCATTAATTAGTGGGCCAGCTGTGCACTCCTCTGCCCCCCCTTCATCCGACCCACATTGATCGGTGCTGTCTAAATGTGTCCTTACTAGAAGACACTGAACAAACAGTACGACAATCAGGAACCAAGCTCGAAGGACGCCTGCCCACAGTACATGTACACGCGTCCTAACTCGAGAAATGCAATACACGCATTGCAAATGTAGTGCGGCAACACGAAGTACGTTCTCGTGTACGACCCTGTTTCAATGTCACATCGTCAAGGGATTCCCTGCTGTGTTGGATAAAGGGATGTCTTTTTTACAAAGGGAAGGTTCAGACACAGTTTCTAGTCATATTTTAATGTATATCCCATATACCAAATGACATCCAGTGTGACTGCCAAAATGGTTCAAGGAGCGTTGGTGATGCCACTTGGCAACATTCATCAGAGCATCAACCCTTGCCCCGCATTTCAACTAATGCCATGCCAAGGTCTTCTCAAATTCCCTTGGGAGTGATTTGAAAGCCACGTGCCCTAGCACTCATTCAAGGGCGCAAAATTAGGGGAAAATTTCAAGGTTTATTTTGTCACTTCTGACTTCTTATTGCTAGTGATTACCCAAGGGAAGTGTCAACTGAAGGCTGTAATCGTTTCTCTTACATGAGGGGGGGGGATGTTTAAAGGTGCTTGCTCGTTATTATCCGCAAGCTCAATGAGCCTGTTTGGCATTTCAATAAAGGCAGGGTCATTCACACATAGAGCACTTATGTCATGTGAGCTTGAGCATGTTCGGTGCACGGGAGCCTATGTACAACTGCACTATTAACAGGGGCAACTTTGCATGGGGAGACCGATAATCTTTAAGGCGTACATGTGATTCAGTTAAGGAATGCACTGATGAACGGTCTCGATCCCCACAGCTCTTAAAACCGGGAGAATGTGGTTGCCCATGCTTGCTTTGCAAAGAGGAGGGTCCTGAAGGCTTGAACAGTAAACATTCTCGAGGCAAATTTCCAGGCTACGCGTGCACCAAAATGTAGCACGTCGGGGGGGGGGGTTCGGGTGGTTGGCATAAGTTCACCAAAGTTACGGACAGTTGTAGAATAAAAAGCACACTCCAAAATATGGATGACATCAAACTGTTTTTAAGGCACGTGTGGTAATTCTGTGGAGCCAAACGAGGAAGCAAAACTTGGTGGCTAAACTGGTAAGGCTTCAAAGACCTTGGAAGGTGAAATTAGACAACACGGTCTCAAAGTGAAAAGATGATCATGATCATCTTTGGGTTACTTGGAGGATGTTCGGGAAAGTCGGGCAAACTTACTTTCTCAGGTCAGACATGGGGTCATAGTGGCCGACTTTGTTGGACTCCGACCGACTTTGGAGGGCGCAGATGCAGACCACCATCATGCAGACGGCAAAGAGCAGTGCCCCCGCCAGGCAGCCAATGATAACGTAGAATCGCCAGTTGTCCTTCTCTTCCACATTCAGGACGGTCTGACTCTCCAAAACTGTTGTGGGGAGCAACATTAGCAGCGTTGAAATTGGCACTTTACGAGCGCATCACAAGTACTTTAAAACAGGTACTTAGAGAGCATTTATGGCTATACTTCAAAGGTAGCTGCAGTAAGTACCCAGCCCAGACAGAAGCTACATGTATTTTTCCAGACCTGACCTGTATCAAAGACATTCCACTATTATTTGCAGTTGATATTGGCAGTGCTGAAGTCAAGTATCTTGCAAGTACTTCACAAGTGCTTCACAGGTTCTTCATGAGTACTCAAGGTCACTTCATGAGTACTCAAGGTCACTTCATGAGTACTCACGAGTTATTTGAGTCTCAATGTGAGCTACAAGATATTTACACATGAACTGTAGCAAAGACATTCCATTGTTATTTGCTGTTGATGTATAGGCGGTGTTGAAGTAAAGAGCTTTGCAAGCACTATTCTCACAGGCACATCAAGAACATTTACAGTCACCTCAAAGGTAGATATAAGCACCCCAGTCTCAACGTGAGCTACAAGATATTTGTACATGGACTGTAACCCACAAAGAACTCAGTTATTTTTTCACCCATCACTGACAGTAAGAGCACCTTTTACACCGGTTGTGATGACTGAAGAAAACAATACTAGCAAGACACAGGACAAAACTATGAATTGGTCAGATCTGTCGGCCTAAACATCTACAGATTCAATGGTGTGTTAAGCCATCCTGAAATTAGGCTCAAAAGAGAAAAATGCCATAGTCTTGGTAAGGCTGGTTGTATACGATAGCAGCAGGGATGCGAGAGTCTTGTGATCAAATCTTATTGCTCGTCAAAAAAACAGAATGGATTGAAGATGGAAATTGCTGGGCCGACTGTCAGACTTTACTCTGTGATGCGCTGACCGGCTGTTCTGCATAACAAAGCACCAGCGCATGTTGGCGCACCTGCTACAGGTCGTGTGATTGTGTCAGCTTTCCAAAAGTGCAACTCGGGTTTCTTTCCAAGAGAGGAGAAATTGAATTAAGAGTCACAGAGGCTTGTGCTTTCCCAGCTGAATGTGTGTGATTTTTGCCTGCTTATAAAGGCCGGTTCATACTTCAGGCGAATGTGAAAGCAGAGCGAAATTGATGTCATGGAAGATTTGCAACAAAATTTAACTCGGACTTGAAATGTCTTCAACTTTTGCGAAATTTTTAGAATGAACATTTGAGCTGACATCACAAATTCACATTTGTGCTTGCAGTCATGCCAATTATGAACTGGCCTTAAGGTTGGAAAATATCACTTGTCATATTTTCTTTCTTTATAGCATTTGCCGCACACATTTCCATCCAACTTCATCCGGCTCGGGCAAACCGGACATTCCTGAAAACCTCTCAACTCTCCGGGGAGTATACCAGCTCCATGCTGCCATTTCAACCACAAACAGCTAAACACACATGCACATATAATATCCATCTCTACCCTCGCAGGTACCCATCTACTCCTGGATTTGGAGGGAGAGAGGCTCTCATAGGGGATAAAGAGACCGACCCAAGGTCACAACATATAACTGGCTGCTGGATTCGAACCCCTGG